GCATCTGTCTGGGCGTTTTGTCCTGTTCTTTTTTTGGGTTTACCGGGTTTGCGGGTTGGTTGTGTCTGTGGCAGCGTTGAGCCGCTGAAATATCTTGGAAAGTGTAGGACTATGTGGCCAGTCTTTCAAGGTTTTGGCAGTGGGAGGGGAGGGGCCATGGGGAGTGGCCATCCATCATGCGTTTGTGTTTATCGCCGTCTGGGGTTCCGGACCACTTTGTCGTCGTCTTCTCAACAGAGGTTTCACCCCGCGATATCTTGTCTGCTACCCATCTTGCTTCGTCTCATCTCGTGTTGCATGTGTCTGTGTGACCCTCGTTGACTCAGTGTTGTCCATTGTCCCGGGTTCTTCTTATATGCCGGTGTGCAGTTGTATCGAAGAGTTGTTTGTCAAGCTGACGACGCCGTCGAGTGTTTATAACATATCGAAGGCGGGGCGGAGGGGGCCGGAGGACGAGTTTTTTGATGGGGAAACAAATAGTTGCCCCATCATGTACTCAACGGGCCGAGAATTGCGGAAACCATCGGCAAGGGCCAGTGCGGTGATACACACCTCGCAAGTCCGGTAGGCGATCCCGGTGAGCGATCATGGACGACAAGGTGGTGGTGAGAGGTGCTTCATGCAGGAGCAGGAAATGTCATGGTGGTGGTGGTGTAACGTGGTGCCTCTCGACTGTGCCGGGGGGAGGCTTGTATCCGCTCACCACGAGGGAATAATGCTGAGGGGATGAGAATGATAATAATAGAGAGGGGAAGGGCGGAAGGAAAGGGAGGACAGAGGAGCGTGGAGGTCGGCGAGGGTATTAGAACAGCAAGGCAGAGAGAGGGTGAGAGTTTCGCCAGTCCGTCCCCCCTGTGGCGGCGAGCGCAGGCCCGTTGATAATCTCAAGCACCTGGTTCTTAGAAACAATAACGAAGGACACGCCGGCCACTCACAGGTTTGATCGCAAGTCACACCCCCGCACCTGCAAGGCAGTATGCGAGTTCCGCAGGGCCATGCACTCAGGCGCCAAGCCAGACGACCGGCGGTTTCCGTCTGGGTGCGTTGCGCCGTGTGTGTCCAATGCAAGTGGTGCATGTGTGTGTGTGTGTGTGTCATTTCGCGAGGCCCTTGAACCAAGCCCTTAGTTGCATCCGCATTTAAAGGTATAATCCGGCCGTAGTATTGGTGCCGGTCTGGAGTATTGGTGAGTTTGGTGACGGGAGCGTTGCGTCTCGGGTTGACTCCGGCTTGTTGCCGGCGAACTATTACGCGCACATCCATGGTCTTAAGAGGCGACAAGCGAGAGTGGCTGATCACCAATGGGATCGTCCGCGGGTAAGGGAGTGAGGCGAGGAGGGTCTGCTCGGGTTTTTCTCTCTCTCTCTCGGTGTTCCCATGGTTCCCATGTTACCTTGTTTGGACGTTCGAGGACTTCTTGTTGTCGCCGTTGGCTCGGTGCGACGTCGTCCGGGTGGTTCTGTGCCTCTTGCGTGCTACACCCATTCCGGCGCTTGTCAGCTTACCGTGCTTTCCCCCTCTGCCTCAGTCCTGCAAGCCGTTGCCGTATGTGCTGCCATCTGATGACCCTCTCCGACTCCTCTTCGGAACGATGTCTTCTCGCATATGTTTTCTCAGTTGCTTGTGGGTAACGTTCCCAACAAAACAGGGGTGATGAATGGAGCGGGGACTAGTGAAAAGAGGTGTGATGAGATAAGAGGGAAATGCGAAGGTTAGGGGGGAGGGACGGACATGGTGGGAAAGGGTACCTACCGGGCGAGCGGATGGCTATTCTTTTTGTTTTCATACTTTCCGTACAGAGTGCCCAGGCTAGACCAACCCGTTTGTCTGCTCCCTTCACTACCCCAGAGCCAGCCGAGAGGATGGACAGGGTATTCGTAAGAGAAATCGAAACGAAACATGATGGGATTATTTAGTGACATACGTGGGGACAGCCGGTGAGGCACCATCCCAAGGGGTGGGATGGGATGAAGATTGCAGGGGAGGCATTCGTTGCAGTTGGGATAAATCTCCGAGACGTTTCCGTTCTGTCACTGCACAGGGATGATGATGTTGGGCATTTGTCCAATATCGTCGCGAACCGCCGTGCTACCCACCGCTGCATGGTGGAGTAGGGCATGCAAACGCCTCCTCCCTTTTCCCCAGTCACTGGTGAGAGGAGCGAACCAGAGCAACGGGACACTGTAGTGGCCGAGGCAGCATACGCCCGCCATATCGGCATCCGTCGGAGCTACGGTGACAGTAACCCAATGTTGAAACGCTGGTAAGCACATTTGGAAGCGTGGTGGGTGCCCGCAGTTCAATGGGGAAAGACGCGGCAGGGTTTTGGAATTGACTATTTACTATTTTGAGCATGGGTTGGCGGCGACAGGTGTGAACACGAAGTCCTATGTGGGAATAGAGACTGGGAGGGAAACGAGCAAGTATTGCGGAAGAAAGAAAACGTCTAAGACGAGGAGAAACGGGGGGACTGTCGACCTGAAACAAAAGAGGCACTGGCGACGGATCTACATGATGGTCGCTGGATTCGGACTCTCTGCTCTTGAACAACTGCAGGTCGCTAGACTGCGAAGAGGTCGCGAGGGGAGGCGAATCTTCCTGAAATGGATTCGTTGACAACCTGAGCGATCAGCGATGGGTGTTCATGGCGCGAATGGGAAAGGCGTCGGCTGTTAAGGTTGTTTGAAAACAGGGCCCTTGCATTGCAGCTGGGGTTGTGCCTGCATGACTGCTTTGGGGGGAAGGGAAATGACCGAGGGGGGCCGAATAGTGGAGGTACCGACCGCTAAACCGCAAACCGGGCAGGCTGGCTACGTTATGAACGCCCGCCGACACCCTCATGTCGTGTTCTCGGGTCTCGCTGGGGTGAATGAGAGGACACTGTAATGCCCATATTGAGTACATCGGGTGATCGGGAACGATGGCGCGTCTGCTTCCGACGAAGAAGGAAACCCGAACCGCGCGAGGTGTGTATGTGTGTGCTGGAGGTGCAGGGGTTGCCAAAAGGAGCCCAACAGATACTAGGCTCTAATAAGAGAGGGGCGATGCTGCGTTGCTGGTGGAAGTAAGTCGGTAGGTCGTCCTGTTCCTGCGCGGATGGATTGTATCATTGGACGGGAGTGTAACGGATGGTGCCAGGTCTCCACGCCTTAATCTTCCGAAAAGGTTGCAGGGGAGCTGAGCCGCTGTTCTCTCACATGCCCGCCGTCGCCGTCGCCGTCGCCGACGCCGTCGCCCTCTTCATCGCTGCTGTGGTCATTCTTCGTATTCGAGCGCGGTTGCGCGCCATACTCCGTCGGTTTGCCTCGGTAGACAAGTTTTTTACGCCGCTTTTTCTCTTGAGCCTGGGTCCGATGGGCATCTGGCTGGAGAAGGGAGGTAGAGGCGCGGCGAGCCTCTTCGTGCTGCCGATCGAGCTCGCGTTGCAACTTATCGGGCGACGGCGGCGTGCTGTTATCAAACAACTGGCCAAGGCTTCTTTTTTTCCTGTTTGTATGGCGCGATGGCAACTCTCGTGGGATTTGCATGTCTATCAAGCTCTCTGTATGGGACGCAAGGGGACTTCGGTGAATGTGCCGGCCGCTGGACACGCTGGAGTCTGAAGCCACAGGATCCGGCGAAGGTGGTCTGGAGCTCCGTCCACTAGGCCCGCTGTCAAACGCAACACAATGCCAGGGCCTGGGAACATGAACGTACCTGGCACTTGGAGGATGGGCACGTGTCGAGGCCACGCCGTCCCCCACGGTGCTCTCCGAGTATCTGTCTTGGCACATGGCGACAGCGAAAAGCTGCTGCTAGCGAGTGTGCGGAGTTGTTTGGTGCGACAGTGATGATTATTTGAGGTACAGCAGATTGGGCAAAGCAGGTCGTTGCGGTGCGAGCAGTTCGGATGCCATTTTGTATTGAGGGACGTGTTTAAGTGAATGCACAGCGTCCGAGCCGAACGAAGGGAAAAAAAAAGAAGAAAAAAAAAAGGTGCGGCTAATAGTGTTCGGAGGCAACCGTCGCAAGTTTTGAACAACACGACCCTTTTTCTTTTTTTCTACTTGGACCGACAGGCACTCGTATGAGCATGTTGCGGTTGGAGAGGACCACGGAGCCAGTCGAATTGGTGCTGAACAGGATGAGTGGTCGATTAGCAACGATTGTCTGCCTTGCGAATCATGTCAAGGCTTGCCTTGGAGTATGGTGTCGTCTTCACGAGGCGGCCAAAAACAAGCAAGGCGTAATAGGACTGCGTGCCGGGCATTCTCGACAAGAAAACCAAACGTTGGATGGTGTACCACAGTGCCTTGCCTGGCACAGATGAAAGTGTAAGCGACATCACAACTCTCAGTGACCAGGGGGTTGTCGTCACAGCCTCCACCGAACGTGCTCATGAAAGTGGCTTTGGCGGATTGAGCACCTTTGGGAATGCCTGTTCCAAGGCTGACGACTGAAGACCGAGACGATTTGTTGGTGTAACCACCTCGATCCACTGAGTGTTCATCATTGACCGAAGATCTGCATCATCGAATACGTGGACGCCGTTTGTGATGAACCAAAAACATCCCGAGTACATCGTAGGTAGGTGGCGTCTGTGGGTGCGCCAGACGCATTGAGCAACGGACCAGGGTAGCAAGGTAGGGAGTAAAGTGGTTTTGGGGATGACTAATACAGGTCACGTGAACGCGCGTCGGAGTTTTCGTTTTGGCAGGTGGAACTCGCGGCTGTAACGTCCTGCTTCCTGAAGGTCCGCCTGGCAGCTGTGACAGTCACCACTTCTAATATTGCATACTTCAAGCTGGTGGACGGACGCTGTACACATCAAATTAGGCGTCCTTCGCTGGTCTATTTACAGCGTTTTCCAAAAGAAGAGAAAAATAATAAGAAGGAGAAGGAGAAAGAAAGCCCAAGTCTTGAGGGATGCATCTTTGCACGACGCCAGAATAGTCCATCTTCGCCTCACGCCGTTAGTGTCAAACCTGGACCCTGATTGGTTGCCTTCAAAATCAACGGTCATGCCCGACTCCATGGAAGTCGACCCGTTGCCTTCTGCTGGGATGAAGCGGAAGGCAGAGGAAGATCCAGAAGAGTTGCGTGCTTCTCGTCGCATCCGGGTGAGTTGCACTTGTCGCCTTGCCTGGCTAGTCATATATCTGACATGCACTTCTTAGGCACTTGACCCCAACGTTGTCAACAAGATCGCCGCAGGGGAAATCATTGTTGCCCCTGTGAACGCCTTGAAAGAGTTGATTGAGAATTCCGTCGATGCTGGCGCCACCGCTCTCGAGGTACTCGTCAAGGAGGGTGGCCTCAAACTCCTCCAAATTACAGACAATGGGTGTGGCATCCAGGTACGTTCCTGTCCGCATTGTGAAGCTATTTCGCCATATTGACCTTCCCTAAGAAAGAAGATTTGGAGATTCTCTGCGAACGCCACACAACTTCCAAAATCACCGCCTTTGAGGACCTCGCCTCCATCGCCACCTATGGCTTCAGAGGCGAGGCCTTGGCAAGCATTAGCCACATCGCCCACCTCTCGGTGACGACCAAGACAAGAGAGTCGGAGTGCGCGTGGCGCGCCACCTACCTCGACGGCAAGCTGGCCCCCGCGAAACCCGGCCAGTCGGCCGAACCCAAGCCCACCGCCGGCCGCCAGGGCACCCAGATTAGCGTCGAAGACATGTTCTATAACATACCAACTCGTCGACGAGCTTTCAGGTCGCCCGGTGAAGAATTCAACAAGATCATTGACATTGTCGGCCGCTACGCCATCCACTGTAAGGGAGTGGCTTTCTCATGCAAGAAGCACGGCGAGTCGGGTGCCAGTGTCTCCGTTCAAGCATCCGCGACTGAGGTCGATCGCATAAGACAAATTTACGGATCAGGCGTGGCCAACGAGTTGATGCACTTTTCGACATCCGAGGACCGCTGGGGCTTCAAGGCTACCGGTTGGGCTACGAATGCCAATTACAGCATCAAGAAAACCACCTTTCTACTCTTCATCAATCACCGATGCGTCGACTCTACCAGCATAAAAAAAGCACTGGAGCAGTTGTACTCTTCCTTCCTGCCCAAGGGCGGTCGACCATTCATCTATCTCAGCTTAGAGATTGATCCTGCTCGCGTCGATGTCAATGTGCATCCGACGAAGCAGGAAGTGCACTTCCTGAACGAGGACGAGATAATCCAGTCGATATGCGAGCACATCCGTTCGAAACTCGCAGAGGTCGACGCAAGCCGGACGTTCATGACGCAGAGCTTGCTCCCGGGTAGTCATATGATGGACGTGACGTCCCAGGACGAGGGCGATGGCGTACCGGCAACTCCGGCTCGAGAAACACCGGGTTCCAAACGGCCGCGGAGGAACTCTAACAGCCTCGTCCGCACCGATACGAGCCTACGCAAAATCACCAGCATGCTGCCCTCGGCTACATCAGCCACGCCTTCGAAGGCGTCCCCTGCAGCGGTGACGACAACGGCGGCCGGAACACCAGACGACAACGCCTTGTCCTCCTCGGAACACATCCGGTACGAGATCGTGGACAGGCCCTTTGCGCCGATGAGGCTCACGAGCGTCAAGGAGCTTCGTGCGGAGGTCAGGGAAGACATGCACAATGACCTCACAGACATCTTTGCCACCCACACGTTTGTCGGCATCGTCGACGAGCGTCGCCGTCTCGCCGCCATCCAGGGCGGTATCAAACTGTATCTCATTGACTACGGCCGGACCTGCTATGAGTACTGCTACCAGGTCGGCTTGACCGACTTTGGCAACTTTGGCACAATTCGGTTCACGCCACCGCTGGATCTGCGAGAGATCCTCCGCATGGGCGCGGAGATAGAGAAGAACAACGTTGAATCGCCTGATGAAGAATTCGACGTTGATGAAGTGGTCGAGAAGGTTGCCGCCCAGCTGATTGAGCGACGTGAGATGCTCAGCGAGTATTTTTCGCTCGAAGTCAGTCCTGCAGGCGAGCTGCTCACCATCCCCCTCCTGATTAAGGGCTACACCCCGGCCATGGTCAAGCTACCCCAATTCTTGCTTCGTCTGGGACCCTGTGTCGACTGGACAGGGGAGAAGGCGTGTTTCGAAACATTCTTGAAGGAATTGGCCTCCTTCTACGTGCCTGAGCAGCTGCCACCGACTATTGGTGGGGATGCTGGAAACGGGGACGAGGGGGCGGGCGATCATGATAGGCAAATTGCGGAACGGCGACGGAATGTGCGCTGGGCCTTGGAGCATGTGTTTTTCCCCGCTTTCAAGGCGAGGTTGGTGGCTACGACGCCGCTGATGAAGGCTGCTGTGTTGGAAGTTGCTGATCTGAAAGGCTTGTATCGGGTGTTCGAGAGATGTTAGTCGCGCCGTCCCGGTGTGGGTTTATTTATTGCACCGAATCTTGATTTGGTACCAAAGATTCATACTGCATAGTCCATGTATATAATTCATCGAAACAGAACAGAACAGTCCAAGGGGACTTATGTGCCCTCCGCACCCTTTCCCCCGTCTTATTCCTCTCTCGTCAGCGCGCCACTGATAAGTCACAGTACTTGGCTGGCAGTTCAACCACGTTGCTGTTTTGCCGCTCGTAATATCTGCGTAATTCTCTTGGCTAGGCTGGGTTTCGACGATCCTGCCCACGAGGACATTCTGCTGGAGCTGGTAATCGGGAGAGCCTGCAATGCGTGTTTCAGAGAACGTGAGGGAGGGGTCGTGTTCTGATGGAGTAGCGAGTATCTAGGAATGGGTTTGCTGATTGAACCGCACGCCCAATGACGACGTCGGGTCGTGCGCCTCTTCCATCATCGTCACGAACGAGAAGGAAGACAGGGATAGAAATCCCCGCTGGTGGTGGCTCCGGGTCGATGTTTCTATCGTGTTCTAGTGCGGCGTCCCAGGGACCTTCTTCATCCCTACCTGGCATCCGATTCGGCACCCGTCGGCTCACGGGCGTTCCCCTCCCCCCCCCCCCCCCCCCCTAAATTATGATCATACGACCTATGTATTGAACCGACAGAGTTGTTGATGTCTATCCGTCGACTAAAAAGTACTTTTTTGTAGCTGTAGATGCCAAACAGCAGCAGACTGCACGACAAAGAAGACGCTCAAGAGAGAAGCCCTGTGCTCCTTCCCCCGCCCAACTCGACGGCGAGCAACACGAAGCCCGTCGAAGTGAGAAGCGGCCGGGACCGGGGGGCATCATTTGTAATAAACGCACGGCCCAAGTAATTCTGAGATTATTATAGACTTTAAAAATTATGTACCAACTTCGGCGGTGTGCGTGTTGGTTCCGCTACTCAGTTAACGATGGCACTTCCCAAGCTTATATACCTACACAAAGGCGAAGCGTCGGGCCTAGGCTAATCAACAATTGGTGAAATCTCTATGCCCGACGTGTTATTTGCCCACCACGTGGACACGCTGGCCCAACAAAGCGACTCGAACTGCAGGTACCGTTTTTATTCGCTGGGTATTGGCTGAGCATTGGGGGCGCCTTGGCACCCAATGGGAGAGGACAGTGAACGCACTTTAAACAAAGGGGATAGTCTCACGCGAGTCGGAGGATGCTATCGAATGTACCCCCCCCCCCCCCCCCCCCCCCCCCCCCCCCCGAGCGCCGGTCGCCGTTGCCGCACCGTGGCCGCACCGTGTCCAAAACTACATCATACATGGCGCTCGTGATTCCAATCCGATGCGTTTCCAAGACTTCCATGCTCCCCGCCTCCCCTCCCCGTCAAGGAAAAAAGACAAACCCGCTACATCACATTTCAACGATCCCGGTAACCCTCCTCCTGCCTTCACCCTCCGGAATCTTGAGCAGATTATTGTTCAATCCAATTGCAGCCGGAAAATGGCCTCGAGGCCCGACATTGACGATGAAGACCTCACCTTCCACTGCTGCGCGCCGCTCCGGGCCTCGGAACTCCTGAAGCCCGTTGAGGTCGGCGACATCGGGTCAGTAAAACCCCCCAATTCCCCCATCTCATTCAGACGCCAAGGAAGAGAATAAGCACAAAAAAATAAGATAGAATTGGGATATGGAAAGATAGAGCAGCGTTCCACGCCCGTCCCCCCTTCGTGCTGCCGTATCGGGACCGAATAAACAAAGCGTGGGCGTCTCCACTAACGGCGCTGAACGTGACAGCGGCCCCGGCCACGCCGGCAAACCGATGTTCCTCGCCTGGCCCATCTTCGGCCCCCTCCTCTTCCAGAACGAGACCAGCGACGCGCGGGACCACTGCGCGAACGAGAGGAGTACGTCGCTTTGCCTTCTCAACCCCGCCCCCACCCCCCCCCCAAACAGCCAAACAAACAAGCAAACTCTCAACATATGAGTGTGGAACTGACAACGCAGCCTTCCTCTCCTACCTCCGCCTCTCCGTCTACATGTCCATCGTCGCCGTCGCCATCGTCCTCTCCTTCCACCTGAAATCCGAGCCCAGCCCGCTCGAGCTGCGCATGGCCAAGCCCCTGGGCATCATCTTCTGGGTCCTCTCCGTCGCCTGCCTGTGCCTCGGTCTCGGCAACTACACCAGTGAGCCCCCCTTGACACACGAAAGACGCACACGTCTGACATGCGCAGAAACCGTCAACAAGTATAGTCGGAAAACCGCCATCGTGCAGACCGGGTGGCGGACGCAGCTTGTGAGTTTGGCCCGGACCTTCTCTCTCTCTCTCTCTCTCTCTCGTATAGCCACTTGCGCCGGGCGGACCCGTTTTTAACAGAACCGTGTTAGGTCCTTTCCATCGTGGCCCTCAGCATCGTGGGGACCTGCGTCGTGTTGCTCGTCATCGCCAGGATCACCTCCAGGACCCAGGGGGCTCACCCGTCAGACGACGCGGCCTATGCGGCGGGCCACATCTTGTAACGAATGGTGAAGAAGAATAGAAAGAGACAGAAAACCGTGTTTTTTTTTATTTATATTGCAGAGCCGTTTCCCCAATTCTTCGTCGCGCCATAACCAGCCGATGCTGATGCTTGTCCGGTGGGTATATATAAAGTCTATAGAAGAAGAAGAAAAGAAATGGGAAAGAATACAGTCGGCGCAACGTCTTGCCGGTCGCGCTGCAGAAAACCGGATACCCATGTGGATGTTGCTTCCCATTTACCCCTTGAGTTTGCCGTCGGCCTTGCAAAACAAGTCCTTCGCGGTCCCGTCAATGTGGTCACTGTGCGTTTCCGCCTTACCACAGCCGCCGACCCGCTCGCGCCACTTGAACATGTACTCCACCGCCATCTGGTACACGTGCCGTAAGTCCGTGCCATCACCCTCCCAGCCGAGAAGCGGGAGATCTTCGGCGGCCGTGAGGCTGCCGTTGTTCGGGAGCGTGTCCAGAGTCCGCACCAGCGTGCCGAAGCCGCCCGCCGACTCGGACAGGCTCGCCGTCTTCTTCCACTCGCCGTCTTCCTCTCCGTACTCCTCGGGCGCCTGGTAAAGCTCCCGATGCACCACCGCGAGGGTGGCTGCCGTCTCGGCGCTGGGGTACAACGTGAAATAGCCCCTCAGCCGGGAGAGGCGCAAGACATGCTCGAGCCAGGAAGGAAATCTTTTGCTCACTTCCTTCTCCGCCAACATCTCCAGCGGCGGCTCGTCCCCGCGCGCATGCTGTAGCGCGTCTACTTCCGACACGAGACCGTGCAACTCGATCCACCTGTCACCAAAGATGAGCATGGCGTTGCTGTTGGGGGCCTGCCATAGGTATGATGTCCCTTCGCCGTGCTCTGCGTTCTCCGCCGTCGGCTCTACAAAGTCCGCTTTGCCGTCGAGGTAGGTAGAAGGCGACGCCATGCTGATGCCTAGGATGCGCTGGTCCCACTTCTGGAGGGTCGACAAGCGGGAGTAGCGGTACTCGAGCATGGCGAACTTGAGATCTGGTGTTTTTGGTCAGCATGGTTGTGGCACCACGTTTGATGCGCCCAGACTCACAATGGAAGAAACTCGGCGCGAGCTCAGCTTGAGGCGACAGGACAAGAATGTGAGAATGCCTGGGCGTTGTTGGCCAGAACGATTCCAGGAAGCGAATGGTGCTCTCCTCCTCTGTCATGCGCTGCCGAGGGATCCTGTGCCTCAGCGAGAGCATCTGCACGCGACCAGGATTGTGTACATGTGGCGGCGGCCAGTGAAACGTCTCGAGAAACTCGGCGGTCGCCGGCTCGATGTCCTGTGGAAGCTCGATTGTGAGGTGGGGGATCGTGAAGGCGGTGAATTCGGCGTCGCCAAGAGACTTGAGGAGGCGCAGCAGACTGCCAGAGCCGCTGGGCGGAGCCTGGATCAGGATGTCGACGCTGACCTGGTTCCAAACCGACAGCGAAGCACTGTCCAGCTTTGCCAACCACGAGAGGTGTGCCCAGGCATTCGCGGGGAGCTCGATGAGCGGGGTGTTGAGTCGTCGGGTCTCGTCCCGCATGCCTTTCATGAAGGGGAGGGCCTCGTCGTCGGAGCCGTCGACGATAATGGCCTGCGGGTGCATGTAGGTATGGATGTGGCGCAGCGCGCGGGTCGCGGCCTGCTCGAGCCGGGCATCGGTCGAGAGGGCGGAGAAGTCGGGTCGGGCGTCGTGCCAGATGATGTAGCAGGTGTCGTCGACGCCATTGATCTTTTTGAGGTCTTCGAGGTCCATGTCGCTCCTACTCATGACGGCGAAGTGTACGTAGCTCCTCAGCTCGGTGCCCATCTTGCAGGCGAATGGCAGCAGCGTCGAGAGGCTCTTTAGGTCGGAGGCGGCAAAGAGAACGTTCTGATTGACGGGCTGGCTCCCCTTGGTGGCGGCGATGCCGTGTAGCGAGCCAGCGAGACGGTGAAACTTGATGGGGCCATTGTAGTCGTGGTGTTGGGGGCCTTGGGTCGCGGGCTGGTTCTTGGGCGGACGGCCGGGATTTCGGAGCGTCGGATCGCGAGACTCTCGAGGATCATCGGGGTACGGGTAGATGTAGTTGGGGGATCGGGGGCCAAAGCCCAAGGAGAGGTCGCTCAGCAGATACCAGAGGCCACAGGCAATGACGAGGAGGTAGGCGATTCGTCGAAAGAGGCGGCGGGAGGGCATCTTGGCGGCAGGCTGCCATTGGGAATTGCGATTGCGAAGGAGGATGGGGTTCTTGATGGCGCTACCGCCGGAGCGGTGGTGGTCGTCGTCCTTCTTGCCCATTTCTTCATCGCTGAGGAAGACGAGGGAGCGTAGTTGGCGCCATGGATCCGGCATGCTTCTCTACCTGAGAGGAAGGGAGGAGAAGTGCAGTGCAGTGCAGTGCTGGGGCGGGCAAAGATAAAGCAAGCGGCGGCGGGGGAGAATGAGCAAAGGGGAAGAAAGCAAGGTTTCGTGGGTAGCAAGGGCTCTCGCCGGAAGGACTGCAGCAGCAGGTTGGATGAATGCAAAGGTGGGAGGAAGATCCGAGGGTCGGGCGTCTCACATCTTCCCGTCGACGTCGTCACCAATGAAGGTCCAAACACAGCAGAGGGAAGGGGGCGGAGGAGAAGGAGACGAGTAGGAAGAGTACAGGACAGCGCAGCAGTCGAAACACGGAAAAGCGGCCGGTGGAGCGGGACGGCGAGATGAGATGGAACGACGGACGGTATGTACAGAATATAGGGTACGAAGTAATAACAGACAGGGCAGGGTACGGATGAAGCAAGAGACAAAGATAGAGGCACGAGAGAGAGAAGAGAAGAGGAGAGAGAAAAGACAGACCTCTTTTCCTGTTCCCTTTCTCTTCCCCGCTGGCAGTTCCTGTGTCCGTCTATCCGTGGACCTCGATCGATTCCCCCCCCCCTCGGTGCCGGGAGCGACGGATCACCCGATGGGAATTCAGGGTTGCTGCTCTTCTTGGTCCCCTGCTCCCTGGTCCGGAGCTGGGCTGTGCTATGCAGCGATGTTGCAGGTCTGAGCCAGGCGGTGATGGATCTGTGGAGCTGTGCAGACGGACGTGAAGCTCGGCGGAGGGTTGAAAGCTTCGGACTGGTCTTGAATTACCTAGAATGATTGAGAGCTCGAGTGTATACTTGTATTAAATAAGCATGTAGATATGTGAGTATGATGCATGTGTCGGCGTAGGTAGGTACTTGTAAGTTGTGGAAAAGGAAAGGTGGCATCAAGTGACTTTTGGATGCGAAGCAAGGGAGACCAGGCGCGGACGAAGAAGCTTAACATGTCTGGCTTGGCATCCGACCGCGTCAGTCCCAGAAAGTGTCTACTATGTACGTACGATGTAGTATGCGTACAGGCTAGTACGGAGTACTCCGTAGTTAGTGCACAACAAGAGTGAGACCTCACACGCACCTTATTTGCTTAGTAATGACAGATGTTAGAGAGTCTTGGTTAGTCTTGTCTCACACGGAGTGGGGGATAGTTGAAGATGATCATGTACAGGTACTTTGGTCCGCTGGCGTTTTGTCAATTATGTAAGGTACACTATACAGTAGGGTGCCACAAGTCTCCTGACATATACCCAGTATACACCTAAAGCACAACTTTATAATAATTAATACTAAGCTAACTAGATATCTTAAAATTAAGAAAGAATACTTCCTAAATAGTCTTACTAAATCCCTATGTGTTTTATATTTATTTAGGTTTCTTACTTAATATATCTGTTATAGTATAGGTAGTATACTCTTAATAATAGTATAATATAATTTATATACCTGTAACTAAGTAACTATAAATAGCTTTTATCCTATCGAGTGCCAAGTGACCTCACATAACCCAAAAGTGGGTCTCTGTAAGTAATTACTTACAGCTACTGGACAGTCAGCCTGGATTGCTGTAGTCTTATTGGTCTGATGTTATGTGAGGTCACTCGGCACTCAATGGGATAGTTTACTTTTATACCTAATATACGATGGTATCCGGCCGAAGTTTTTTCCCCCTGTTAGGTAACTAATGCTCACCCCCCTACTACAGAACTTCACTTTTGGTGAATATTCCCCTCTATCATGATGTCAGCTATGGGGGATAACATCATAGGGGGAAAAAACTTACCCCTGCCACCCTGTATTAACATATAGTGTATTCTTTACAGAGAAGTTAAGGTGGCGCACTATGAGGTGTCAGGAGACTTGTGGCACCCTACTGTACTTAGCTTCGAATATCGTTCCTGGCCTAACTTTTCCTAGCACGATGGCTGGATGGCAAGATGGGTAGGATTCGAGGTACTGAGGTACCTCATGGGCATCTACCAGTACCTACCAGCGGGGAAAGACACCGAGTACCCACAGGTATTCATATAGTCCTGTCTGCTATTCAGTAAGGGCAGCGGTACGGTACGGTACATCCTCTGTGATCAATGGGAATGACTGGCCTCACAGATGCCCGAGCCACACTGTGGCTGCCTGTAGCAACCAACGCCTTTTTCGAATTTCCCCACCAAGCTCTCTGTTTTTCTTTATTGTAGGGAAAAAAAAAAAAAAAAAGCAAAGCACTGGACTTGAAGAGGGTCGGTCACGAAACAGCTCAAGAGCATATATTATCTACCAATACCAAGACAGACATTTCTCAAAACTCTTAATCTTATTCCCATCTGCAAGTGCATCCCCCCAGAAACACTTTGCGCAACATGGGCAAGTCGAGACGAAACAGAGGTGGCCAAAGCCATCGCAAGGACCCCATCGCCAAAACCGTCAAGCCGCCCTCCGACCCCGAGCTCGCTGCTCTGAGGGAGAAGTCCATTCTGCCCATCATCAAGGACCTGCAGAGCTCCGACCCCAAGTCGCGCACCGCTGCTGCCGAGGCCGTCTCAAATATCGTATCCAATGAAAAGTGCCGCAAGTTGCTCTTGCGCGAGCAGATCGTCCACATCATCCTCAACGAGACCCTCACCGACGCCAGCCTCGACAGCCGCGCCGCCGGCTGGGACATCTTGAGGGTCCTCGCCGAAGAGGAGGAGTCCGACTTTTGCATCCACCTCTATCGCCAGGATGTACTGAGTGCCATGGGATTCGCCTCCCAGGCCGTAAGTAACCCACCCCGCCCGCAACTAATACGACACGACTAGTACCTAGCTACAATGAGACGCACGGGTGCTAACCATGTCCAGATCCTCCAAAACGTCGCCAGCGCTGCTACTCTGAGCAAGGCTGATTTGAAGGCGACCTGGGCAATTGCCGAGCCTGTCATCGCTCTCTTGTCCGCCCTGGCCGAGGCTCAAGATGAGATTCTCGAGGCAATCGTCACCATCGAGGCCGTCAAGAACCTCCTCTTCGCAATCATCGCTTACGCAGACTCACCGCCAAACATCTGTCTCGATGCCCTTTCTGCCCTCCTTACCTTGTCCGAGGACAACACCCGTCTCGCCCGGGACGTTGTTGCCGACGACAGCCCCAAGCCCCTGACGGCTCTGATCAAGTTGCAAGGCGTGTCCGGCGCCAAGGGTGTTTTGGCCTGCGGTGTTTTGCACAACATTCTCACTGCCCTGCAATGGTTCGACGGCACCCCCGACCAAAAGAGCCTGTCTGATGCGTCCCTGATCCCGACCCTATCCTCAGCACTGAGGGATCCCAAGCAGGACTCCGACCTGCCGCCCAAGTGCCAGTGGTCCAACCCGACCGAGGTGCTGCAGCTGGCGTTGGAGATCCTGGCCGACATTGGCACAACCCTCCAGCAGTCCATGCGGGGCAGCGGCAGCAAGGACGGGGAGGAGTGGAACGGAATCGGCGACGGAGACGACACCGCCATGGACGAGGATGACAAAGACATGGAGCACGCTTCCGGCGACGAGGACAACGCTGGCGAGGACGGCAATGACGACGACGACGATGACTCAATGGACGAAGACGCGCTGCAGGCCGACATGGACTTGGTCACTGGCGTTGACGACGACGACGACGAGGCCGGCATGGACGACCTGCCTACCCTGCGCGAGCTGGTGCAGCAGGCCGTCCCGCAACTCGTTGCCCTCGCGACCGCATCTTCGCAGTCCGAGGATGCCGCACAGCTCCAGGCGCATGCCCTGTCCGCCCTTAGCAACATTGCCTGGTCCGTCTCCGTGTTCGATTTCTCCCAAGACCACAACGCCGCCATCCTGAAGGCATGGACGCCCTCCGGCAAGGCCATCTGGAGTAACGTCATTGTCCCCATCCTGGCCGCCAACACCGCCGACGTCGAGCTGGCGACCAAGGTGACCAGCCTCGCGTGGGCCGTCTCCCGGAGCCTACCTGGACGCGTGCCCCTAGGCGGCGACGAGCACAACAAGTTCATGGCTCTCTACCAGGCGACCAAGGGTCTTCACCAGCCCAACGCAAACGGCGACAAGTCCAAGGACGAGGAGCCCGAGGACCCGTTCCAGGGCCTCGGCGTCAAGTGCATCGGCGTCCTGGGCCAGCTGGCAAGGGACCCTGCCCCCATCGCCCTCAACAGGGAGATCGGCGTCTTCCTCACCACCGTCGTCAACGCGCTGCCCGAGACCCCCGCCGCCGACGCCGTCGAGGCCCTCAACCAGCTGTTCGACATCTACGGCGACGAAGACCTGGCGTGCGACAAGGAGGTCTTCTGGAAGGACAACTTCCTGCCGCACCTCGAGGCGGCCCAGCCCAAGGTCAAGGCCTTGGTGAAGACGATCGATAAGAGGACGCAGCCAGAGCTGCGCACCCGGGCGGACGAGGTTGCGCTGAACCTCGGGCGGTTCATCCAGTACAAGAAGAAGCAGCAGCAGCAGCAGCAGCAGTAGTAGCGGCCCTGAACAATGGGCAGGCAACGCTCTCACCAAGATGATATGTGGGTGTCCATAACACCGGCTTTTGGATCATCACGAAGGCCCCTCGAGTTTGTGGACAGGCGCCAGGGAACGGATGCATAGTGGGCAGGCTGTCAAAAGTACATGTTTATAGAGAGATTATGAAAAGCACATTCACGATGCAACGGACGGAACGGGAGGGAAAGGTGCTTACCTGGCTAGATGAAAGACCTCGAATCTTGAGGGGGTTGAAGGAGACACGAGCATTGCACTTCTGACATGGTTAGGCACATGATCGCGATGTTCAATATTTAACTCACTGGCTCGTTGATATAACCATGCTGTCGCGTTTGGCGTGATCGAGAAAGGGATAAAAAAATAAAAAATAAAAAAAAGATATCGTCGTAGTCGAGACCTGCCACGTTATAATGATGAACCCCTCTCCCTCTATTCCCAAAACACCTTTGCCCGAGGAAGAAACAGTTGCGGAAAAGAACCCAATGGGGACGAACGAACCATCGTGTGTCTGCGGCGAGTCCACCCCACTGCCCCCCCGCCCTCTCGAGAGCCCTTAGCCGATGGGCTTCATCTTCTTCTTCTTCTTCCCGTCGCCCGACTTGCCCTTTTGGAAATCCCGCCAGCTGCTGATGCGCTGGTCCCGCGTGGCCTCCCAGTCCTGCTCGTGCTGGCGCTTGCGCTTGCGCTGCTCCAACTCCTCCTCCTCCTTCTTCTGCTCGCGGCCCTCCTCCTGCATCTGGGCCTTGACCTGGCGGCGGCGGCGGTGCTCGTTGTCAATGAGCACCTCGCGCGTCTTGTCGCGCCACTTCTTGGCGAACTCGTCCGTCTTGATCTCGGGGCTGTCGACGGTCCACTTGTTCTCGCGGATCAGCAGCATGCGGGCATCGGCGATGGCCTCGTCGAGCCGCTCGCGGTGCTTCTCATCCATCAGCTCCGTCTGGGCCTTCTTGAGCCGGTCGAAGGCGTCGGGCGCCAGCGGGTTCTTGGTCTTGTCCGGGTGGATCAGGAGCGACTTCTTGCGGTAGGTGGCCTTGATGTCCGACTCGGGCACGCCGGGCTGGAGGTCGAGGACGGCGTAGGCGTCTAGCCTGAAGGCCTTGAGGATTCTGTCGATCTCGGCATCCTGTTGAGGGGGGGAGGCGGTAGCGCGCCTTGTCAGTGCTGGGTTCTTCTTCCTCGCGTGCTCTCTCGCTGCGCAGCCGTCGTCGCATTTACCTTGTCAAACTCCTTTGCCTCGAGCTCGAGCGCGTCGAGCGCATCCTTCTCCTCTTTCACGTCTGGTGTTGCCATGATGAGTTGCGCGGTTCAGTCGATCAGCCGTGATCCAGTGCACGAGTATCGTGGAGGACTGATGGTGGGAGGGTATGGGTTTGTGGTAGTTTTGTTGGATCGACTGCGAGGTTCAGCGCGAGGTTCAGCACGAGGCCAAGGGTGGTGCGGGTGCTGTAACACGCCACATGGACCCGCTCAAGATCCCAGTTGATAAGCGTCCACCCCCACGACGCTAAGATATGATAACGATAAGAAATTTCTCTCTTTCCCGCCAACCCAAATTTTCGAAGGCAGCGGCTCGCCAGCTCTTGGGGTGCTATCTGCTCCAGCTTTGCTTGTTTCGCAACTCGGTGAAGATCTGTCTTCACGAACCAATCGACAACGACGACGACGAAGACGAAGACGAAGACTACAACATATACGGCTTCGCGGAAAATCCCAGTCGTCCAAGATGCCTCGTCGCGCGGCATCGCCCACGCCCTCCGACGGAGAGGTCGACATCGCAGACTCCCTCTTCGCCGCGAACGCCAGCGGCAACGGGAGCGATGACGAACAGAACCCCCCAGACTTCGACTTTGACGTGGACGGGATCCTGAACGGCAACGAAGGGGGCCAGGCCGAAGACGATGGTGACGAAGCCTTCATTGCGCTGCAGCAGGCAGCATCTTTCCGCAAGTCGTCCAACCTGAAGGGCAAGTCGGTCAAGAAGGGAGGCGGTTTCCAGGCCATGGGTAAGTTTCGATCGATTCGACGCAGGCGGCGCGTTGCTTCTTCTTGTTGTCTGTCATGGCATGGTTAGATCTAACACTGTCTGCAAGGTCTGAATGCGAACCTCCTCCGCGCCATTACGAAGAAGGGATTCTCCGTCCCCACGCCGATTCAGCGAAAAACAATCCCCCTGATCATGGACCGCAAGGATGTCGTGGGCATGGCGAGAACGGGTTCCGGAAAGACGGCCGCCTTTGTCATCCCCATGATCGAGCGCCTGCGCGCTCACAGCGCAAAGGTCGGCACGCGCGCCCTCATCATGTCGCCGTCTCGTGAGCTTGCGCTCCAGACGCTCAAGGTCGTCAAGGAGTTCAGTAAGGGGACCGACCTGAAGTGCATCCTGCTCGTCGGTGGTGACAGCATGGAGGACCAGTTCAGCATGATGGCGTCCAATCCGGATATCGTCATCGCCACCCCCGGTCGTTTCCTCCATCTCAAGGTCGAAATGGGCCTGGACCTGTCCTCCATCAAGTACGTCGTCTTTGACGAGGCCGATCGTCTTTTCGAAATGGGTTTCGCCGCCCAGCTTACCGAGATTCTCCACGCCCTCCCACCGTCGAGGCAGAGTCTGCTGTTCTCTGCTACCTTGCCGGCCTCCTTGGTCGAATTCGCCAGAGCCGGTCTGCAGGACCCCACCCTCGTGAGACTGGATGCCGAGACCAAGGTCTCCCCGGACCTCGAGAGTGCCTTCTTCTCCGTCAAGGGAGCCGAAAAGGAGGCTGCCCTGCTTCACATCCTCAGCGACCTCATCAAGATGCCCCACGGCACACCCGACGGAGTTCCCCTGGACGTTGTGCCGTCCAAGAAGCGAAAGCGCGAGGGCGAAGGCAGGGGAAAGCCGACGGAACACTCGACCATCATCTTTGCGGCAACGAAGCATCACGTTGAATACCTCGCCCAGCTGCTGACGAAAGCCGGCTATGCTGTCTCGTACGTCTACGGTTCCCTCGATCAAGAGGCCCGTCGCATCAACACCGAGAACTTCCGCAACGGACGAGCCAACATCCTGGTGGTGACGGACGTTGCGGCCAGAGGTATCGATATCCCCGTGTTGGCCAACGTCATCAACTACGACTTCCCTCCCCAGCCCAAGGTCTTCGTGCACCGCGTTGGACGTACGGCCCGTGCCGGCCAGAGGGGTTGGGCATACAGCATCGTGCGCGAGCTCGACACCCCCTACCTGCTGGATCTCCAGCTCTTCCTCGGCCGCAGGCTGGTGGTGGGCCACGAGACCGAGAGCCCATCGTACGCCGAGGATGTCGTCGTTGGCGGGCTGAGGCGTGACAAGATCGAAATCCATATGGAGTGGATGGAGAAGGTTCTGAAAGAGGAGGTCGATATCGAGGCCATGCGGAAAGTCTCGGCAAAAGCCGAGAAGCTGTACCTCAAGACTCGCCACTCGGCGTCCAGCCAGAGCGCAAAGCGAGCTCGCGAGCTCGTGGGGACCAAAGGGTGGCACTCACTGCACCCCATTTTTGGTGCGGACATAAACAACGCCGAACAGGCGCGTAACGAGATGATGGCCAAGATCAGCGGCTTCAGGCCGGCCGAGACCATCTTCGAGATTGGAAAAGGAGGAAAGGGATCAAGCAGCGAGGCGGTGGAAGTCATGAAGCAGCTGAGGAAACGCATCACGCCACACCGCGGCAACAAGGAGAAGAAGGTCGACTCGGACGAAGAAATGGAGGACCTAGACGATGCCGCGAACGACTCGGACGCCGGATCGGACGAGGAGGCGAAAGCGCAAGCCATGGAGGCCTACGACTCGGACGACGACGTCGAAGACGACGACGATGACGGGTTCGAAGTCACCGTCACCAACACGGGCGAGAAGAAGAAGAAGCCCGAGTCGTGGAGGGACTCGGAGGTGTTCATGTCCTACACGCCCAGGACGATCAACACGGCCGAGGAGCGGGGCTACGGCGTCACGTCGGGGGCGCAGATGTCGAGCTTCGTCGAGGCGGCGCGCAACGTTACGATGGACCTCACAAACGACGACACGGCCAAGGGCTTCGGCGAGCCGTCGCGGGCCAAGGGCATGCGCTGGGACAAGAAGCAGAACAAGTACGTGGCGCGGCAGAACGACGAGGACGGCTCCAAGGGGGCCAAGTACGTGCGCGGCGAGAGCGGCGTCAAGATCGCGGCCAGCTTCCAGAGCGGGCGCTTCGACCGGTGGCGCAAGGCCAACCGCCTGGGGCGGATCCAGGTGGGCGCGCTCGAGAAGCCGAACGCGCCGGAGCTGCCGGCGAACCACAAGTACAAGCACAAGCAGGAGCGGGCGCCGAAGCAGGCGGACAAGTTCCGCGACGACTACGAGGTGCGCAAGAAGCGCATCGCCGAGGCCAAGGAGAAGCGTGTCGGCCAGTTCCGGGACGGTGCCGGCAACCGCAAGGAGATCAAGGGCGTCGAGGACATCCGCAAGGCGCGGTGGGAGAAGCAGAAGCGCATGGAGAAGAACGCCAGGCCGACGCGCAGGAAGTAGGGGAGGGTCCTCGCCGGGTTATTGATTCTTGGGTGGAGGAGGAGAGGGACGAGATGTGTCTGCACGTAATCAAAAAAATAAAACCGTTGTACATGAGAAAAACAAAGGGGGTTGCGCCGCTCAACCGCACCTTTACTGATGAGGCCGCGGCTGCGGCTCTAGCTCGTCGTCGAAGGGGTGCCCGGCGCCGGCGCCCGGAGCCGGGTGCCGACTTGGAGACTTGTTTTTGGACGACTACAAACGTTAGAAGCAAAGCAAGGCCGGGGGTGTCGGACGTCCGCGCTTGCTTTCCTGTTTGACACCGGCCCGCCACATCAGCGAAGCAGGGTGTACACGACTTTGTGTGTGAGCCTGCCCCTCCCCTCTTGGCGTGCAGGTGATGGACGACAAGGATATGTATGTATGGCTTTTCACCTTGCTCATGAGACTGTCGATCATCAATCCAGGCTATGTATATACCAATATTGTATACATGTGCTTTCGACAAACTAGGCAGTGGGACCAGTGGTGTGCAATGGGGGGGCTCCATGTGCTGTTTGCTCCTTGCGGCTGTCTGTGTGTACGTAAAGTAAGCCTATGTTTGTATGGCACCGTGTTATCCTTCCCGAATCATGCATGGTCTAGGACCAAACGATGGCCAGGTCGGATTGACGCGTTCGAGAGCTGACGCTTCTCGAAAGGAAAACACTGGAGCGTGACCGGCTGCCGGAGGACATGTCGAGGTGGAGGCCGCTTGGGCTCGGCGGCGCCCCTTTGGTGTGTGTAGATGAACATTGATCGATCGATATGGACTGACGTCAACAGACTCAGTCCATGGGCAAGCAGCATACGCACGCACACACACACACCTATCTATCTATATAGACCTACAGACACACACATTTCTAATGATATTCGTAATAAGAAAAGATGGACGTAGCTAGAGCTAGCTAGCAGCCGTTGCGACGATAAATCGCAATACACCGAGTCATTAAAGAGGAAGTGGTGGAGCCGTCTCTCTAACCTCCAAGTGGACTACGTACGGCCCAATCCAATAGAAGCGAAGCGACCTCGTGTTTACGGAGACGCACAAAGGGAAGAGGGAAAAAAAAAGGCAACCCAAAATAGCGCAGGTGCTTCAGCGAAAGTGCATAATAAGTAATACCACCCAATAGCAAAAGGAAACGCATCAAGGACCGACCGCGGTTCGAACGCGGGGCCTAGAGATGGTTGCTGTTCATGAACTGCAATCTCTCGCTCTACCACTGAGCTATCGATCCTCGTAATGATCAATGGCAAGTGATGGTGCAAGCGAGTTTATGATACCTGTCTGGATGCGTCCTCTGAGTCACCTCTCCCTGTCCACGAAAAGAGCGGTCTGAGCTGTAATAATAAGCCTTGGCTTTTAACGACCTAGTTAACTAGCACCTTAGCCAGCCTTTGTTTTTTTTTCCTTTCCTCTGTTTTTATTCTTATAAGAGTTACAGTTTAAGCTGTTAATGTGTAGACAGAAAGTCGTGGATCGAGTCAGAGATAGATTGATAGACAGGCTGTTTGACGAGGCTTCCAGCCCAGGCGTAGTAGATGCATTTGCTGCTCCACTGCCGGCGGGAATATAACCATCAAACGGTGCTGGGAAACGGACCCCGTAAGCCGGTTCGCTTTCCTAGCTCAATTTGGTCAGAGCGTCCGACTTTTACGCTGTTAAAAGGCCATCGGAAGGCTGTGGGTTCGAGTCCCACGGATCGCGGTTTGATTTTTGCTCGCCTTTTTTTGTTCAATTCCGAAGCGCCTTTGGGAGGAGCATGCGAGGAGAACAGGCCCGACCGAGTACACCAAAACGGCAAGATTAGCTGGTGTGAATCCTTGTCATCCGTGCCGACCGAGCACTGCTTTCAGAAATTGAGATAACCGAAGCTGATGTCGATTGGGTCGCTTTGCCAGGATGGCCACGGCTAGTAGGGCTGCGACGATCCGGGCCGAACCGTTTCCTTACTGGCGGCCCTACAAGTCGGGGCAGAGCCCGTCACCCGTGGCCAACGATGCCCGAGTGGAACGCTACTATAGTCCTCCAGGCTCAAGTGTTTCTTTCCTCTCCAACATCCCCCCTCCATCTCGCATCTCCTCCTCCTCCTCCTCCTCCTCCTCCTTCTTCTCCTTCATCCCTTCCCCCGTCTTACACGAGCACCAGCCGTTGCACATCAAAGTCTGCAAAGCTGTAAAAGCCCTTAGGTATCCCGAAAACACCGACCCGCTCGAATCCGAGCGCATAATCCCGCTGGGAGCGACGAAGGACGACACCGACATCTGCGCGGTAGCTGATGGACTCGTCGATGTTCAGCGGGTCAACGGCGGCTTCCTTGATCGTCATCTCGCCAAGCGACATGAAGTAGAAAGTCACGGGACCCTGACTAGATTTCACCGACGAGAGGACTCCTTCGCAATCCAGCTGGAACCTGCAGGTTCTCCAAGGTATCTCGCCAGGTGCAGTTTCTGGTGTGAAAAGCAGGTGTGGTGCACCGCGTATCCAGATGGACTGCTCTGGCGGGACACGTACCCTTCCTCGCACCACGTTGGCCGAAACTTCGAGCTGGTACTCGCTGGCCAGCAGACCATCTCCGGAGCTTCCTGGTGCCGTTGTGCATCTGGCGTCCCAGAAGTGGAAAGAAGGGCTCAAAACGAGAGGAGCGAGGGTCACACCGTATAGAATTGATGCGGCGCTTTGAATGACCTGATCGTCTGCAAGCACCATGGATGCCCAAGACCATGTGGGGATGCAAGGGGTATGATGGCGATGGCTTCTGGTAACGGGCTTCATGTCGTGGCTCGGGCTGAGATTCCACAGCAGCTCCTCCGCCAGTTCCCGAGGCGAGCTCGCCGGGATGGCGGCACAGTACCGCTTACCGGTGACCTGGGAGATGTGACGGAGCATGCCTGTCATGTGAACTAGCCTCTGGTCGGGCTGTGAGAGCGGCAGCTTCATGTACATCTGCAACACATGGCCGAGGTCTTCGATACAACCCATCGTGTGGAACCTTTCTCTCGGTAGCGGTTGCAAGGGCTTATCGGGGTAATTCAAGTAATGCTCGTCTCCGCACTCGCATGCCGAGCCTTCTAGGCAGTCCCATGCCATCTCAGCCCTGTGCAGATGCAGGACCCTGGGCGACAGCAGAAGGCGTTGAAATGATGGCGCGTGCCGCAAGATGCCCATCTTGTGTCGGCTGAGGGCGAAGAGGTGAGTCTTGGTCGCCATCGGTTCCAGAGAGGCGATGTCGGCCATGATCCAGTAACTCCAATGCATGCTCGGGCGGACCTGAATGGGGTAGGTGCGGCCATGGTGGCTGATTTGGATAGTCCTGGACCCGGCCCTTTCGTCGGTACCGTCGGCGGTAGCTTTACGGACTGGGCGAAAGTTGCTGAGCCTGAGATCGGTGGTACCGGCCAACGCAATGGTGAAGTGCGCATGCCGGAAGATGGCATCTTCGCGGTCCAGGTGCCAGTTGTAGTCTTCCACGTCGCCATGAAGGACGCAAAAATCGGGGATCCAAGCGTACCGAACGCCCTGCTCGTTAGCCACTGTCAAGGCTTCTTGCAAGGCGACCGGGATCTGCCACCATGCTATGCGCCTCTGACGCTCCTCAAGGTTCTCAGCGGTGGTAAAGGAACAGGGGACCGGCAAGGGACCGGCAACGCCGTGCATGATGGCGACATAAGGTCCGGGAGAGGCGGAAGTATCAACCAGCTTGACACCATTTCGTGGATCCTTGCCTAGGTCTAGGCATCGCCTGGGAGCCGAGCCTTGGACGGCGCGGCAGGTTGGGTGCGACGCAGTGCACTTCTCGATCCAGCCACGCATCATCTTTTGCCGACGCCTGGAGTGCAACGTCGGAGTAATCTCGTTGGCCGGGCCGAAGGCCGGCCAGGGCGACGGCTTTTCTGGGACGGGGTCAGCATCAGAGGCAGCATTGGCGTGTAATTGGCGAGGTGCAAGGGGCTCTCACCTGGTTTGGTGAATAGCTCAAAGGACACATTATCCCCAACGAGGTTGCCTTGGGGATCGGTGTAGTTGGCACCGGCAAATACTCTGACGATATCACTGAGTTCGATAAAGAGGACACACACATCGAACCTGACCTTTCGCTCGCGAGGGTCGAGACCCAGCATGAGCAGCATGCCTACTTTGATGGCGTAGCATATCTGGCATCCCTTCTTGCCGGCTCTGACAAGCTGCTTGAGCTTGCGTGACAGTGTCGGAAACTGGTTGGGCGAGGACGACACGGTTAAACGGTCCCGATCTAGGTTATAGCACCCGGGGCACACGGATTGTCTGGAGGCGACAGCCCGGCCTTGAGTCCCGTTACCCGGCATAGCAAGTACAGGCGGCTGAGAGGCGGAAGGGCATAAGCGGTCGGTTCCTGCTCCGGTCGAAAGATACGTGGGCTTGATCTAGTATTGCTGAGACGTGAATGTGCGGCTGATGCGATGCGCGTGGGTGATTTGGCGATGGTGTTCGAAAGTGAGGGTTTTGAAGATGGGAAAAGGCGGGTGACATGCGCCAGCGACATACCTAGGTGCCTAGTACTTGGCCTAGCTGGTTATCTGGGTAATCAAGTACTTTCTTCTTCATCGAACCAGGCCACTGCTGACATAATAAGATGGTATCGCCTTATCTGAACTAACCAAGTATCATGTACCTTGTACATGGCAGCAGCGACTGACGACGACTGGTCCTTCCCGCCTGCGCGCAACCATCTCAACTCACTGCCTCATGCTACGACGCCAAGAACTATACTTTCTTTTCATTCAGCACCAAGAGACGATGAAGCGGATCAATCGCTATTAATGCATATTCCATTACGTCGAGTCAATCTAGCCATATCCCCCCATTCGCCATTCGGGCTTCGCCGCATGGAGTAATACGGTACCATAGGCCAGGCCAACGGTAAACATAGATATAATTACTTTTGGTCTATGGTATGTGATGCAACCGCGCAATTCTATGCTACGCTGAGAAGAAAAGACGAAAAAGAAAGCAGGACAAAAGAAAAGCCAGCTTTACAACCCTTCCCTTTCTTTGACTTTCTCAACGCAGTCTTGCCATCGAATCGTCTTCATGTAGATGCACTCGATGATGGCAATCACAACCATGCCGCTACCCAGGCCGATCCAAGCGCCGTTGAGCTCCATGTTCGGCGTCCCCAGCTCGAGCCAGACGGCGACCGGCACCGCGGCCAGGTAGTTGACGACGAAGACGATGCACGCCGCTACCGACTGCTGGCCGAGCCCGCGCAGCACGCCGTTGCACCCGCTGATGATGGAGTCGATGAGCTGGAACGCCGCGACGGCGAGCATTGAGTTCGTCGTGAGCCGCCGGACGACGGCGTCTTCGGAGAAGACGAGGCCGAGCTGGTTGCGGAACACGAAGACGAGGATGGCGTCCAGCACGCCGACCACGACCACGACGACGGCGCACACTGCCGCAGCCCGCCGGGCGGTCGACACGAGGCCTGCCCCGATGAGATGGCCGATGCGGGTGCTGACGGCGACGGAGATGGAGAAGGGTATATGCCACATGACGACCGAGATGGTCGTGAGGATGGTCTGCGCAGCAAGGTGCTCCGTGCTCAGGTACGAGGTGCTGAGCGTGAGGATCTCGAAGGCGGCCCACTCGCCAATGTTGACTGCCGCCCCGGCAACCGAGAGCCGCACCGGGGCCCCCCACTCGGCAAACGCCTCGCGCGAGAAGCCGCCCCAGCAGCTGTGCGACCACCGGCCCCAGAAGACTATGTAGGCGAGCAAGAAGACGGCCCGCAGATTGTTGGCCAGGGCCTGGCCCAACGCCGCGCCCTCGAGGCCCATACCTAGATGGAAGGCGAAGAGCCAGCTGAGGAAGGCATTGAGCGGGGCGCAGACGATGAGGACGACCATGGCGCTCTTGAAGTCGCCCTGGGCCTGCAGGAAGCGCTTCAGGGCCTCGAAGGCCGCGTAGCCTGGCATGCCGATCAGGCTGACGCGCAGGAACAAGCCGGCCTTGACGGCGAGGTGGTGCTGCTTGACAAACAGCCCGAGGATGGAGGGCGAGAAGACCCAGAAGAGGCCGATGGGTACGGTAGCGAGGGCCATGAGGACGAGCATGCGCTGAACGTGCAGACCAACGGCGGTGAGGCGGCCGGAACCGTGGGCCTGGGCGCAGAGGGTGTCGAGGGCGGTGGCCATGCCCTCGTAGATGGCAAGGCCGACGATGTTCATGGTCGTCAGGCCGATGCTAGCGGCGGCGAGGTCGTCGGCGCTCAGGTGGCCGGCCACGAAGGTGGTGATGACGGTGAATGAGTACTGAAGCAGGTAGGTTGCGATGAGAGGCAGCGAGTATCGGCACAGCAGCCAGGCCTCGGCCAGCCAGCCGCCCTCTGCCGGCTCGGCGTCGTCGGGCTTCTGGTAGGGCTGGTCCGACAGCAGCGGCGTTGTCTCGCCGGCCCGGTCATCGTGATCACGGGAATCCATAGTGGTGGTGGATAGGTTCGTACGAGACGGCACCACGATGGCGGCGGCGGCAGCGGCGGCGTCGGCGGCGGCGGAAGAGGAGATGGAGGGGTCGTTATGGGAAAAGAAAAGAAGACAAATTGACAGGTAACTGTCTGGCAGGGGAGGGGAGCACAGGGCAGGTCAGGGCGGGACAGGACAGGACAGGACAGGCCAGGACAGGACAGGGCAGACACAAAGTTAAGATTATTGGATTGGGTTCGGGCTGCCGGAAGGGTTGCTTCAACTAGCGCCGGGCCGCATCAGTGCATCAACCCTTCAACGTCTTGGGGGGTGGGTGATCAGACGGTGCGAAACGTGCAATGGAGTTGTGGGTGGTGGTTCGACCGCGACAAACAACGACAGAGCGAGAGAGCAAGGGAGAGATGGAATGGAGATGAGACACAGCGAGACAGAGTGATGGAGTCGTGGAGTCGTCGTGGAGTCTGGGGAATCCGGAGAGAGTCGGCCAAGTGACCCGTACAACCGCAATAAAGGGAAAAGAAAACTTTTGCCCCGGCAATTGTGAGCGGGGCCGATTGGTGGGGTCAGACCCCACCCATCGGCTCCGGATTCGGAGGTGGACGGCCCATACCTATTTGTAGTGTAATGGTAGCTTATTTTACCTGGGTACTGAGTATCACGGCCGAAAGGATGTGGCAATGGTGTGTATGTATGTAACTGTATTTCGTACGCATGCACATCCAACTACCTAAATTAGGTAGGTAGTCTACTGATGATGGGACGACCCGTCATCGCGACGGCAGGTTCCTGCGTCGACATGCCTTGGCAAGTTGCGCGTTGCTTGCGACAGCGGCAGCATGAAAGGCAGCTGATGAGATTAATCCAGGTGATGTATGTGCTGGAGACACATCTCGAATCATCATGTCTGACTGGGTGGGTGTTCGGCACTCGGCCGACTCGTCATCTTCATCTGACCAAGGTCTGTCTGGTATGGTGGCTGGGCGAGTGGACGAGGAAACATCACGTGCTGGTGTCCGTTCCATGTTAACTGCATGGTCTGATCCCACCATCTTTGCACGCGTGTACATAGTATGTGTCTCGGAAAAAGGGGGAGGGGGAGCGTCCACCCCCTCCAGCTTCGACTGTATTTGACCGGGATTGGCTTCCGGTTACGCATGCGCCAGTGTAGCCCGAGCCCTTTTGATCTCTCGTCGCTGGTGGTCTTTCGTACCGGGCCACATCTTGATTCTTCTTGGCATGGCCGGCCTCCACCCTCCACGATTTGCCATACTCGCAAGAGGAACCCCTAACCGAGTTACCGTCTATCCTTTCCCTTCCATAGAGGGTTTTCGTTTTGCATCTCCCCGACCATCCTCCACCCCACAATGGCATCTGGACCCGGGCATTGCGTACCCCCGTCCGAAAGAGCTTGATACACTTTGTCGATGAGCCACGCAATGATCCATAACATGGTCGTGTCGCCGTTATGCGGGATATATACCTTCCGGTCGTGCAATGAGAGGCTGAGGCAGTCGTCATCCAGCTACGACCGCGAGGCTCGTACAAAAAGGTGTGTATACGTCCTGTCCCTCGGCCAAGCCGCTTTTCCATTGCCCGGCTGGGCACATTTGATCACACATGCCTCGGTTCCAATTGCTTTTCGCTCACAGCGTCCGCCACTGCCTCGGCGCCCCTCTATGATGGCTACTCCGCCATCCACCGGCAGCGGTTCCTACTTCCTTGAGATGTCGAAGATTTAGCATGTCCAGCCGAGCTTAGAGAGATGGTCAAAACCAGACTGACACAGTGCCGATGGCTTCATGGTGATCGACGTCAAGGCCCCGGACGCCATCACGGTAGATATCACTGGATGCAGTGTCTTGATCTTCCGTTATGAATACGCGCAAGTGGCGCATTGGCGGTTACGAGATGCAGACTTTTGCAACTCATGCCGAGTTCCGCCTTATTTCAACACTATCAGGTCTGGCCGAGATATGTGGCATACTCCAAACGTGCCAGCCTACTGAATCTTACAAAGATGACCGTCGCTCCTCTCCTCCCACCCTTCACTGCCCACACAAGGTGTGCACCACAGGACATCGTTAGGGTCGACCTCGCGCTTGATCCCGAGCAGCCGCTCATAGTTTTCGCCCCAGAACGCCTGCTGCCAGTTCTCCTCGAAGGGAAAGCCCTATGTCGTATCGTCAGCATAACCCGCCTAACCTGCCCAACTCCCCTCTGAGCAGTTGAGAGGGGGGGGGGGGGTGACTCACTTCGTTCATGTAGGAACCGCCGCTCGGGGTGAGCTCGCGAATGGCCTTGAACCTGTCGTTCAGAATTTTTCTCGTCCTCCCTGCGGCGGTATCGTCAAAGGGAGGATAACCCCATCCTAGCCAGGTGACTGTTGACCGTCAGAATGTCGTCTTCTTCATTGTCTCTGGGGGGCTTGGAACTACAGCCGCGATCACGGTGCACTCACGCGCATGGACGTATGCCTTCCGCCAGGCCGGATGAACAGCATTCCCTCCGCCGCGGGGCTTCGCTTCGTTGACCCCCTTCCCTGCCACCAGGTACGTCCCCAACCAGCCGTCGTTGATGAGAATCGGCTCGAGCGCGCCGGCCAGGGCGTCCAGGTCGTCGGTCAGAGCACCCCTGTCCAGGAGCCGCGAGATGAGATAGACCGAGCCGCCTGCTTGGCCATCGTCAAAGTTCTCGGCGTACCAGTCCATGAAGGAGTCGTACGGCTGCGTCAGCGTCAGCAAGTTGACCTGGCCCGGCCAGCGTTCCTGGATGGTCTTGTTCAGTGGCTCGAATATCTGGTTGATCTCGCCCGCGTCCTGGGTGTCCAGTATGATGGTCTTGCCCATCAGGCCGGCCACCCTCTCTGGGAGGCCTGGGAGGGGGATGGGCGGTGTTGAGTTGATTGTGGCCATCAGGTAGCCCGAGAGGCCCGAGTCGGAGAGGTAAGGGAGCTGAGATGTGGCCCAGGTGGCGAGTTCCATGGCAAAGGGGGCCTCGGGGAGGGTGAAGGCCATGAGCAGGACCATGGTGAGCTTCTTGGATGGATGTGTCATGACCGTAACCGAAGTCACAACCCCAAAGGTCGACCCTCCTCCCTGATGTAACGTTAGCGCAATGCCCAGAACACTGGGTTTAGTGCTACCCAAGGCATGCAGCAACTTACACCACGTATCGCCCAGAACAGGTCTGGGTGCTGGTCTTCGTTGACCGTGAGAATCTCCCCACCGGGCGTGACGACCTCTAACTGCAGCACGCTGTCTGCCGCGAGCCCATAGTGCGGCGCCAGGATCGAGTGGCCACCTCCAGTGATGAAGCCGCCCACCGAGACAGTCTTGGCCCCGCCGCCCACGACGGTGCGGTTGTGCTGGCTGGCGACCGTGTACAGGTCGACCATCCTCGTCCCGGCCCCGGCAGTGATGGCGTCGCCGCATATTCTCTTGCCTGACCCGGAAAGCTTGAAACCGCCCTCGTGGTACTCGATCCCGTTGAGGTGGTGTGTCCAGATGGACAGAGCCCCCGGCGCCACCGAGCGCCCTAGATAGTCGTGGCCGCTGCTCTTCACGACCAGACGGACGCTGTGATCCCGAGCTGTTGATCTGTCTGTCAATTGAGGTTGTTCAGCATGCCGATTCCGTCCGCGTGAATACTCACCAAAGTCGACGGCGGCCTTGACGTGCGTCGACGTGCCGACATCCGCCACGTACGCCGGGTAGCCCGCTCCGCTGCAGGGAAAGTCGCTGAGAGGGAGACAGGTGTAGTTGGTCCACAGATCCCACATCATGGACACCGGATCCTCGTCGTGGAACTCGAAGGTTCTCCAGGCCTCTTGGACCCTGGGGCACTGGTCCGCGTTGTAGTTAGGCTGCCCCTCGTGGCAGACGCCGCCGGGAGGCAGAGGCACGAGGAGCCTCCCGTCGACCGTCTCGTTCAGCCGTGACCATTCAAGGCTTGAAGGCCACCCCGGACTGCCTGGGAACGCCTTGCAGTCTCTGGCGGGAGGTGAAGCCCTTACTATAGCCGACGCGCAAAACGCGAGGAGGAGTGTGGAAGAAATCATGTTTGGTTTTTCGAGAGCTCCGCCGATAGCCGTGACGTGCAAACATCAACGGCAGGCCTAGGGGAACTTTGTTGATATATCTATACAAGCCGCGGCCGCGGTGCCTTGATCGTGATGTAATCCGTGACTAGCACGCCCAGGCCGAAATGCGCGGAGACGACCCCTGCCCACGAGGGGGCTCTCCGCGGCTGACCACCCAATCAACCGTAGCGCATCTTCTATGGGAAGCTCGTAACCGATCTGGCTTACGAGGGGTAGGGAAGGGGGATCGGATCGTCAACGGTAAAGGGAAGCTGAGGAGTTGCTGTTTAGGCTACGCTGCCGTCTGGGCCGACGGCGCTGTTCCCGCAGGATTTTCTCGCTGTGTTGCTTACGTGCATCCGCCAGGATCGCGATTGCATATGCGCTAGTCGAACCGGGTGTTTAATTACTCAGCCTGGCAAAAGGATCCCCCTTCGACAAAAGAGCCTTGGGATCTGAACGGAGCTTCCGTCCAACCCGGGTGTCTGGCCTTAGTCGCACCCGTGGCAACTAACTACTCTTATTCAGTATTGGAAGGCTTTGGAGTCTTGATGAAAAAGCCCGGATGACACTTATACAACCTCTGTTTTGCAAAAGAGGTCGCTCGCACATTGTTTCTATAACGTTTGGTCTCTGGAGGGAGGGAAACATCTCCTCTTAACATCATGGAACCGGCTAGAAAGGGTAGTTTAGAAATCGTTGTGCGGCCCGAGCCAAACGTCGACAGAGCGTCGGCCGAAAACAACAACAAAAATGGCGTGGACCATCACCTCGAAGAGAAGACGGAGAGTTCCTCACGAAACCCCGAAAGCAATGAAACCAGCCTCCAGACGGGGACCGGCGATGAGTCTGCGAATCACCAATACGCGACTCCGAAAGAGCTCTCCCTGCTGTCGACGGTTTTCACCATTGCCACTTTCATGATAGCCATAGACGGGAGTATCCTCGGTAAGTGGACGCCAAGACTCTTGCCATCTTCCCAAGAACAGGACGTAGCTCATACATGGCATGCAGCGACGGCCATTCCCAAGATAACCAGTGATTTCCACCAACTCGATGACGTCCCGTGGTACGGAAGCGCATACCTCTTCACAGAGATGGCATTCCAGCCTACTTTTGGTCGCCTGTACACTTTGTTCGACGCCAGAGTCCTCTACCTGATATCGATAATACTCTGTGAGTTATACCGGGTCAAGTCCAGTCGTGACCGTGTGACTTGTGTCTGACGTGCTTCCCATGAAGTCGAGATAGGCTCGATATTATGTGCTGCCTCGCCCAACTCTGCCGTCTTGATCACTGGAAGGGTGATTTCCGGCACAGGAGCGGCCGGCCTGCTCTGCGGGAGCCTGGCGGTGTATGGGAGGTCGGTTCCGCTGCGGGCCAGGCCGTTCGGGATGGCTCTTGTCACGAGCATGTATGGTATCGCGGGCGTGCTTGGGCCGACTCTCGGGGGGCTGATTACAGACACGCCCCGACTTACCTGGCGGTTCTGCTTCTGGTACGTCGTTCCTCTACCCTCATAATGACTCCTTCTGGCATAATACCGGATACCTAACGAGAGACAGGATCAACCTACGTAAGTGATGGGTGCCCCAGCGTCCGAGGGAAAAAAAACCCTATCTGATCGTCTATCTAGCGTTTGGGGCTGTGACCTTTGCCATTGCATACAAGATTCTAAAGGCAAAGACACCGGTACACGGGCGGCTCTCGCTGCGTGAGAAACTGAAGAGACTAGACCTTCTAGGCGCCTCCATGCTACTGATCGGCCTGGTGGCTCTCTTCTTCGCGCTTCAATGGGGTGGGAGCAGATACCCATGGTCCGACCCGAGAGTTTACGCATGCCTCATTGTATCGGGCATCTTCCTATCAGCATTCGTCCTGCTGCAAGCAACCAAGAAAGAAGAGTAAGAAAAGAAAAACCCCTACAAGAACCCGTATTCGAATCGCCACGCGCTGACCAGACCAACCTACGTGGAAAAAACAGGGCCATCATCCCCGTGCGGATCCTCTCGCAGCGTACGGTGGCCATCAGCTGCGTCTTCAACATGCTCATGTCCATGGCGCACAACACGCACATGTACTACCTGGCCTTCTACTTCCAGGCCGTGCTGGGCACCAACGCCGTGACGTCGGGGGTGCGGTGCCTCGCGTACGGCATCCCGTGCAGCATCGCCATCATCGTCACGGGGGCGTGCATCAGCTCCAGGGGCCACTACGTCCCCTTCATGTGGCTCGGGTCCGGCGTCTTCGTCGCCGGCTGCGTCCTGATCCAGCGGCTCGACAGGGGCTCGTCGATCGGGGAGTGGCTGGGGTTCCAGGTCCTCAGCGGAGCGGGCATCGGGCTCGCCGAGCAGGTCCCCTTCATCGCGGTGCAGGTGGTCCTCCCCGACGACGACATGCCGACGGCCTGCGCCCTCGTCGTCTTCCACCGCCTCCTCGGCGGCGCCGTGGGCCTCAGCATCGCCTCCAACCTCTTCTCCCAGGAGCTCTCCCGGCGGCTGGCAGGGGCGCCGGCAGGCGTCAACGCCAGGGCTGTGCGGTACGCCGGCGCGTCGGACCTGGCGAGCGCGGTGCCGGCGGCCGACTTGCCGCTGGTCCGAGGGGCTTTTGGCTACGCTGTCGCCAAAGCCTTCATCTTGCCCATTGCGGTGGCCGGCATCTCCTTGCTTATGAGCTTCGGGATGCAGAGACGTTGGATTCCAGACGACCGGGTGCAGCCGGCCCAAGGGGAAGAGCCCACGACGACGACGACGACGACTCTCGACACGCCGGGAGCTGTGTCTCTGGATCCGGTGCGATGTGATAGAACCGCATAGATTGATATTTAGAGCTTGCTCAGAAAGGGAAATTCCCAATGTACACTTTCCGCGATTTACTTGACCAAAATAAATTTGCTTTTATATGTTTGTCCACTGAGCTACATTATTTTCCAACAGCGTCGAGTAAGATCAGATTTTATGATAAATATATGCATTATTGAGATTTTTCTGGAAACTAGAGAGTACCACACACAATCAAGAGGAAACAAGAAAAAACAGAAAACAGCATCCGGCTCATGCCGCGTCTATCAGCGCCTTCATCACCAACGAAGCGCGTTGCAAGCAGTCGGCCCAAGCAATCACCTCTTCCTTCCCAGTGATGACGGAGAAATGTGCCCTGCGGAAAAAAAAAACCAAGACTGTCAGCTTCGATCAAGACAATGCGGTTGCGAGAGAGAGAGAGAGAGAGAGAGAGAGAGTTTTTGCTCACCCAGCGTCAGTGACGTAGTACGTCATCCAGAACCTCTTGGGATTCTGCATGATGAAACAAGATTCAGGAGACAGGCCGTCCGTATTGGAAAACATCTGGTTCGGCTCCACGGTCTGTTCGTAGAGCGGGTTTCTGAAGAGACCGGGAAGCTCTTCGCCCTCCTCGGCGCAGAGCTCGAGGGCCCTCAGCGTGCGCTGGTAGCAGCGGCCCATGAACGCGTCCTTTATGACCTGGTTCCGGGCGTTGGCGGCCTCGACCATCATCTCGAACCGCTGGCTCGCCGGCACGCTCTCGTCCTCTGCGACGGTGCAGAAGCGCGCCGTGGTGGGGATGTTGACCTGCACGATGTCCGGACGGCCCTTGTGGTAGTGCGACATGGAGACGGCCTCCCACGACTGGGCGTTGTAGCCGTAGTAGTAGTAGTTGGCGAGCAGGCCCATCAGGTCGTACATACCCTTGATGGGAAGATGGCGGTCGAGGAGGATGTCTTTTCCGAAGTCGCCGAGGACGATGTCCCTGTATCCGAACAGCGAGATATCTTCCTCGAAACGCTGCCGCACGTGGAGGATGCGCGCATCCAGGGCCGGCGTTGTCTTGAGAGAGAATTCCCTCGGCGCCTCGGCGACGCCGTTCGCGTGCCCGTTGACCTGTCGTGGTGGGCTATAGGTCGTTATGCCTTGCACGATGGCTGTTTGCATCACGAATAGAGTCATTGCCTAAGATATATTAGGGGCTTTCATCCCATACAGATATGTAGGACGGGGTTGGGTCAAGGTGTTGCCAAGAAAAGAAAAACTTACATCAATCATAGTGTGCTCGACGTACGTGCCGGAAGTTGCGTTCTTGCACACGACAAACGCGATGGACTTGTCGACCCATCGGTTGAAGCCTTGGAGCATCATCATACTCCTGATCCGGTCTTCCGCGTCCGTAGGCTCTGTATCGTCGAGACAGACAAGGAAAGCAGCAGCTTCTACCATGTCGATGGTCTCTTTGTTCGCCGCGTCGGCCTCCATCAGAGCTTCCCGATTCTGGTGTGCGTCAAGCAGTCAGTTACCCACTCAAGTTAATGTAGACATGCATGGCCAGTATGGGGTGGACTTACCTCAGCCCACGAAGTGCGGTCGTCGGTGCTTAGAATGCTGGTCCAGCTTTCCTCAGTGTCTTGTCGGTTCAAGATTGAGCTGAAAGTCTTTGTTAACGCTTCGACAGTCACGTTCTCCTCTCTGTTCATGAGTTCGACCTTGAAGATGTGTCCCCGGTGGAGCACCGCCATGTAGTCGTTGCCAGGGAACTTTGCCATCCGGTCGAAGGGAACGCCGGGCAGGCGAGCCGTGTTAAAGATGTACTGCCAGAGATCGGTGCAGTTCGCCGTGAACATGTAGGTCATCGGCTCCCACCGGTCCGCCTCGAGGTCCTGCTTGCATTGGAAGGCAATGTTGGCGACCAGAGCCGCCCGCTCCGCCTGGGTGTGGCCCATCTCCCCGAGCGGGTGGAAGGCCATGAAGTTGTTGAACGGTGCGAGCGGCATGCGCCTCTGCAGGTACATGCTCTGCAGGAAGTACTTTTCCTGCCAGTTCTCGATCTCTGGATCGTGGGCCTGCTCATGGAGGCGGCTGTAGAACACCCGACCGATGCTGTCCGGCTTCCTGAACTCCGCCACGTCCCTCTCCAGGGTCTCGAACTCCTCGGCGGAGAAGAACATCCTCGACTTGTCCAGGTAGTCGTCAAGCATAACGTCAAAGTCAGCAAGCGGCATCTTTTGGAGCGTCTTGGACGCACTGCAGCACTTGAAGTTGTGGTTGGCGCCGGGGGCTGCGATTTCGACGACCAGGTCCCGTGCTTTCTCGACCGCACCGGCCTCCTCCTTCTCCAGGACGACGGCCGCCGTGTCTTGAGAGACGAGCTTGGACCTGAGGATGATGACCCTGGCCAGCGTCATGATGTTGGGGGCATCGAGAACCTCGGATGTCTGCAGCGTTGCCTGGAACGTGCGCACGAGGAAGTTCTTCAACTCAATGGCGACAAGAGAGTCAAGGCCGAAGCTGTCCATGGAGGCGTTCGGGCTGATGTCCTCGACTGGGGCAGCGATGAACATGGCAAACCGCTGGCGAATGCCGTCAACGACAATCCCCTCAACCTCCTTGTGGCTAGTCGCTTGTTGAAGCAACTTGCCAATGTCCGTGGCGTCTTCTTTCGTCTGTTCCCCCTTCTGCTCCAGACGGGGAACCTGGCTGAACATGGGGTTCGCAAGGGCCATTTCGTCGTGGACCGCCTCCATCGACTTCCGGTCGAACCCGAGAATCAACTGGTGGAGGTCATCCTCATTCGCCTGTGCACTCATGGCGTAGCTCAAGACTGCAAAGACTTCGTCGAACGACATGAGGACGGATCCCCGGCGCATGGCCTCTTGCTGCGCAGGAGGGAGCGAGATGATGGCCAACGAGCCGTCGACCGCACCCAGGTTCAGGGCTATGTACCTGCAGCTTGAAGACTTTTTGCTGTGAGCAAAGGCATCCTGGTAGGCGTTGCCGACTGCGTAGTTTGATTGCCCGGACTTTCCGAGAATCGCGGTGATGGACGACAGCATGATGAAGAAGTCGAGGGAGTCCGAAGCTCCAAAGGCCTCGTCCAGGTTCTGGGTCCCTTGGACCTTGGGCTTGATGGCGTTCATGTAGTCATCGTGAGACATGATTTCAAAAGGATGGTCCTGGAGATAGGATTAGCTACAACGTAGTAGATCGGAACTCTGAAAGGTATCATACCCTCAATACCATGCCGGCATGGACAACACCGCGTACCGGGGGCAGGTTTGCTGAACATTCGGCGGCGGCCGATAGCACTGACTCGCGATCGGTGACATCGCATCGGATGATGTGTAGCTCTGCCCCGAGCGCGCGCAGGTCTTTCTCCAATTCTTGTTGGTCTTCCTCCTGGAGTTTCCGCCGAGATAAGGTCACCACATGTCCCGCACCATGAGCAGCCAAGAACTTGGCGGTCCTTCTTCCGAGGTCTCCGAGACCGCCAGAGATGACATACGTGCCATCCTTAAGCAGGGAGAGAGGTCGAGGACGTGCCACAGTTAACCTGACCTGAGTCTCATGGTCGCTGACGAGGACGACTTTGCCAGTATGCTTTCTGGACTGGATCAGGCGGAAAGCATCCTCGATATTGGTCATGGGCATTTCAGTGACGGGAGCCACGGCATGAAGAGTCCCGTCCTCGAACAAAGAGAGCACCTTCACCAGGGTTTCTCGCACCTTGGCTGGCTTGAGTCGTGCCAATACCGTCAGGTCCACGGCTGCAAAGGTGACGCTGTTGTCGAATGGGATCATGCTGATCTCGTTCTTCCGATAGATATCAGACTTGCCAATCTCGACAAATGTACCCAATGGTGCGAGAACGGCAAACGAGTCATGGAGTGATTCGCCAGACAGCGAATTCAGGACGCAGTCGACTCCCCTGCCCTGGGTAAGCCGCAGGATACCTTGCTTGAATGTCCGAAGCCTGGAAGAGAAGATGTGGTCTGGCGGGATACCGAACGTGTCGATAAGTAGCTGACGCTTTGCCTTGTTGCCCACCGTACAGAAGATCTCGGCCCCGATCTTCTGAGCAAGCTGAATGGCCGCCTGACCAACACCACCGGAAGCGGCGTGAATGAGGATGCTCTCCCCCCGCTGAAGACGAGCAACCTCGACGATGCAGTGGTACGCAGTGCAGAAAATGACGGGGACGGACGCGCCGACAGAGTAGGGCATCTTCTCCGGAAGGTGACAGCTGAAGTTCCCGTCGACCCGCGGGTGGCTCGAGAAGGGTTCGGCGAATATGCCGCACACGCGGTCTCCGACGTTGAACTTGTCGGCGACGGCAGATCCGACCTTGCGAACGACGCCGGAACACTCGCCGGCCATCGTGACGCCGGGTACCATCTGTCCCATGGCGATGAAGACGTCCTTGAAGTTGACGCCGTAGGCTCTGGCCTCAAGTTCCAGCTCGAACGGCCCAAGGGGCTTCGAGGGAGTTTCGTCGTCGACGAACCGGAGACTGCTAAGGAGCCCCGGCGTCTCAACCTCAAGCTTGAGGGGTCGGTCTGCTTGCTGGAAGGGCCCAGTCTCCATACTTTGGGCATATATGGACTTCTTGGCCCAGTCGTCAAACTTGGCGTCGGCATGAACTCTGGGGATGAGGAGCTGGCCATTGCTGAAGGTATACTCGTCCTCATCGGATCGTGTCGTGCTGATAGGTGTGGCGAATGACCTGTTGATGATATCTGAGAGCCGAGCAACCAAGGTCTCCGGGCTCGACAGGATGTCATCTTGTACATCGACAGTGACGAATCGCATGCCCGCATTTTCTCGTCGTACGACTCTGGCGAGGCCATTGATCATGCCCTTGACAGGGTTGCGGCAGTCGGCACCGCTTGCTTGACAGCCGACCCATAGTATGTTCTTTGCTCTCGTGACGAGGGAGACGATCTGCGTGAACCTTTCGGCAGTTGGCGAAGCAAGAATAGGGTCCGCCGCGTCATCAAGGACGATGTGGATGGCATCGACGCTGACCTCCTCAG